TGAAACTGCCATTTTCCAAATGCCATTTCCCCCTCTGTTGATTTTCTTCAGTTTACCCTGTCTATAACTTGTTTGTACATAGGTATTTGCTTGTTGTCTTCACCATTAGACTGTGAGCTTCTTGAGAGCAGAAACCTTCTTTTGCCTTTCTTTGTATCAGTGCTTAACGCACAATAGGTGCTTAATAAACGCTCGTTACTGTTGATTTCCCCAGGATCGCTGCTACCTCTGTCTGATGGGAGCCCTGCAGCTTGACCTGGGGGGAGCTCCAGCTGGACCTGCAGGCACAGGCAAAACAGAGACCACAAAGGATCTCGCCAAAGCCCTTGCTATTCAGTGCGTGGTGTTTAACTGTTCAGATGGTTTGGACTATAAGGTAGAGTGTCCACATGTGAATGCTATTATTTAATGCTGTAGGTTTTTTCACTCCTGTCAAGTGATTTCGCAAGACTGGAATGGGACTTGAGCAGGCCACTAAGTGCCATGGAGGATGAAGCTGGTTGGGCTGAGCCCAGAGGGACTGGGTGCAGTTTGAATAAACTCCAGCCCACTCACAATGGCCTCCTGGGTCCAGCTGCCCCTCCCCAGGGACAGCCAAGTTCCTGTCACAGCTGGCTTCTGTGAGGATGAATTTTATTTCTACAAAAGCACTCTCTGATCTTAAACATCACCTTAGGAAACAACGACCTTAGAGCATTCAACTATGGAACAGAAAAGAGAAGCAACTGATGAGAACCAAGACCTGAACCAGCATTGCATGACCTGTTGCTCTAGTAACCCACTTGTTCCAGCTTCAAAGTTCCTAGAAAGGACTAACTCTTGTGGTGAAAATAAATGAAAGACATAGGCAGTATAGGCAGAGCAGTATGCTGAAGACATTCCTTTGTCTTCAGATATCCATGATTATCTAGAAGGAGGTGATGAAAAGTGCTCCCAAAGAGATATTGGGGGAGCTGACTATGGCATGTGTCTGGGCACCACCATGAGAGTGGGCACTGTGGTTATTCTGGGCTTACTCACACATGTAGAAGACTCTTCCCACCCCTGCCCCGTCTTGCTGGTTTCAAGATACAAAATAGTAAAATCCCTTTTCCCAGGAATCCTAGCAAAATGGCCAACTAGGAGCTAGCTCTTTAGTGTGTCTCCAAGGCCATCATTCTGAATCTAGGCTCTCATCTCCTTGCAAAGTCAAGGCCCTGTTCAGTTACATGCCAGAAATACTTGGGAGTAGCATCGAGGAAGACTTTGATTTAACATGTCGTGGTAGCCATCTTCTGATTTTTTTCCTATTTTGTAGATAACTATTAAAGTCCCAGGCTTACCATTTCTTATCCTTCACTGTCTCTACATGACAGGACCACTTCTTTGTCTGGCCTCTGATGATTCCACTGCATACAAATCATGGTTGGTAATATGCAACAACCTGACACCCTCCATCTTTCCATTTCCCTTTGGGTCAATTGCAATTGTGAATTTTTGCTTTCATTATTGGTGTTCTGTATCACATTTATTAAGTGTTCTATGACCATCAATAATCAAATTTCAATTATACTTATGCTGAATATTCCATTATTATGTATTCTCTGGGGCCTTCCCATAGAGTACTGATTTTCTTTGCCCATACTCACTCTCTGTGAAGCTTTCCCAGGTTTTTTTTTTAAATCTCTTCTGTTTTCTTTGCTGGGAAATTCTTTAGTCTTATATTGTCCTCCCATTATATGGTGTTTTTTAATGAAGAAGGTTGTACTTACATCCCCAGCAGTATCTTCTTTTGACTCGTGGTTCAGTTCAATTCAATCCAACAAACATTGATTAAGCACCTACTTCATGCCAGGAACTGTGTTGGATATTGAGGATAGAAAGATAGAATGAAACGGTCCCTGCCTTCAAGGAGCTTACATTCAACTAGAGAGAGATAACCTATACACAAGTGAACACAAAATAAAAACAACATAAGGGATGTAGAGTCAGGAGACTTAGGAGGTTTTGTAGGAGGTGGCTGCTGAAATAACTCTTGAAGGCATCCAGGGACTCCAAGAGGTGAAGGTGAAAAGGGGATGGCATCACAGGCATGGAGGTAGAAGATAGGAAGTCACATACAGAGAATGGCAAGTAGGCCAGTTTGTCTGGAACAGTCAATTTGTCACTCAGAAAGCACTAATTAAACACTTACTATGTTCCGGGCACTGTGCTAAGTGCTGGGGAATACAAAGAAGAGCAGAAATAGTCCTTACCATCAGGGAGCTCAAGGTCTAACGAAAAGACCACATAGAAATGGAGTGTGAAAGAGGGAGCGATGAATCAGCCTTGAAAGACAGGTGGGAGCCAGGTTGTGAAAGCAGAGAAATACCAGAGGCAATAATGAGCATGGGAGTGGCAGGGCCAGAGAAGGGAAAGTCTTCAGGTAGGAAGAATAATAGGGAGCTTATTGGGAAAACCAGTCAGGAGGTAACAGGGGCCTAAATCAGAGGTGTGCAGAGCCAGCTTGAGCCCATCCCCAAGAGCCAATCCAAACTAATCCAATAAATATTAAGTGCCTATGATGTACCAAAAGGGGCAACACATAAAAAGAGGCAGTGGGTGGGGGAGGACAAGGAAAGGATACCAGGGAGTACCTGGGGTGAATGGACATTCCGGAATTAGTTTGCCTTGTTTTAAAACTTCAGCAAAGGTTCTATGCTGTGTTCATACACATTTGTGAGATATTCAGTGGTTCTCCAGTGTACAAGCTGAGTTCTATGATTCTGGGTTGCTTCAGGCCAGATTTCATAGCCAATCCTCAAAGAGGTGATTTGACAAAATTTTGCTGCCCCATTTGCTCCCATCCTAACGCTTCTAGCCCCAGCTTACTTAGACTGGTTTTCTTTCTTACTGCTGGCACTACTGATTTCATCCTTTTGGTGCTGAAGGAGAGAGAGTGGGAAGGTAGGAGCAAGGGAATAAAGGTGAGGATGGAAGATGCCTTCTCCAAGGCTAGACCACACAGATTATCTGAAGCCACTCTAATCAGATGTCCAACCATGCCTGTACTTGTCAATGAGGACTTATTTGATCTCTGGTTTCCCTCTGAGACAGCTAGCTGGAGCGTTGAACAGACCACTGAATCTGGAGGCTTTGGAGGCCATCAAAACCCAGGCCGTGGTCAAAAAGATATTTGTAGAAAGGAATGAAAATTATACAGGAGCCTGGAAATTGGATTACAACTACCATTTTTAGTAGGTGTCAATCTCACTCCAAGATCCATCTATTTCTCACCTGCAGAACCCAACTTCCTCATTACTTACATTAATTAAAATTAAAATTAAGCCAGATTTGGCATGGGCCACTCTTGGTGAAATGGCATTCTCTCTGTTCCAGATGATGGGGAGATTCTTCAGTGGTTTGGCTCAGTCGGGAGCCTGGTGCTGTTTTGATGAATTTAACCGGATTGATATAGAGGTTCTGTCTGTAATTGCCCAGCAGCTGATTACAATCAGAAATGCCAAAGCCGCAAAGGTAAGGTGCCGGGAGACTGCCAGTTGGGGACCGCTTTATGGCACTTCCTGCAGTATGGTTTTAGTTGATGGTAAGGCAGCCAGGAAGGCCATTTTTACACAAGTTAGCACCAGTTTTATGTTTACCCAATGAGTCTTCCAGCTTGGAGACAGCATTAGCAATGGAGTTGGGGCTGTGTATTCCTGGCCATCATTGTCCCTCCACTATCCACTATCCGCTCCCACTTTTTCTTCTGTTCCTCCCTCTTCTGCCACTTTACCTTCATCTGGCCCAATCCCAGCTCAAGTTCACTTTTCGGACCTCAGGTTTGTCATGGGCTTCAGCCTAACCATGGCATTGGTGCATGCATGGGGAATGCGGAAGCTTGGTATCGGTCAGGCTTACTTTGGCTCTGCAAAGTTCACAGTACTGAAGAGTGCAAGGATATCCTTTTTTTTGGCTTGTGTATGTTTTATTAAAATCAATAACTGAAAAATCATAATGCTCTATATATATTGCCTCATTTAATTTTCCCAACAATTCTGTGATGTAATTATTTTTATCTCAGTTTTTTATTAATTAATTTATTTTTAGTTTTCAACATTCACTTCCATAAACTTTTGAGTTTT